TTTTTTTTTAAATAAGTGAAATACTCTAATAGAATATTACACTGATATATTCCAAAAAATAATTTTAAAATGCAGAATAAATGGAAAAATCTAAAAATTATTTTTTTAAATATTATTTTCGGAACTTGAATTAACTAAAAAAAATATAAAAAAATAAAAATAAATTCTATTTTTTTTTTTTGAAAAATACGTGAAATATTCTAATAGAATATTACACTGATATATTCTAAAAAATAATTTTAAAATGCAAAATAAATGGAAAAATCCAAAAATTCTTTTTTTAAATATTATTTTCGGAACTTGAATTAACTAAAAAAAACTAAAAATAAATAAATAAAATAAAAAAATGCGTTTCACGGTCTCACAAAATAAGACGGTCTCACATGAACGTAACCCTATATATATATATATATATATATATATATATATATATATATATATATATATATATATGTTCAAAAATATATTTAATTATTTATCAGTTTTGAATGTTTGATTATCGTTTAATTATTTTCCGAATTCTGAAACTGCAAAACATCTTCGAGTCGAATTAGCGTGTCCTAGCTCCTAAGAAGCCCCTAATCAAAAAGATATTCAGTCTTCAGTCTCCAAACTGATGACTCCATGTCTCCCGTCTTTGTCGATTGAGGAGTCGAGTCATCGACTGTCCCAGTGTCACACACACACCACTCGTCTTCTCGTCTTTCGGCTGTCGCACACCACTCGTCGTCGTCACTCCTGTTTATAACTTTATGTTGAATATTTAAGACTATGACTTCATTTTATTTGTATTTTTTAATTGCATTTTAAAATGTGTTGCTTAATAAATGGGTTATTCGGGTTGGGTTCGACCCACAAACCCATATACTTATACGGGTTATATGGGTTGGGTTGGATTGATGTTTTCAACCCACCAACCCATATATTATATGGGTTGGGTTGGGTCAATGTATTCTGACCTGTCAACCCGTGATCCGTCAACCCGAACCCAACCCACTTGCCTAGCCTAATTAACCAACACTTGAATCAAAGAATGCTGACATAGAAATATAACAAAATAATATATACTCCAACAGTAATTGTAAAAAAATAAAAAAATTATTTACAGAATCCATTTCATAAACTAACAAAAAAAAAGGGTTTGAACATTTACATGATATCAAAAGCAACAATTTTGAGTCATGTACATTGTTGCTTGATCATGCATTAAGTTGCAGGCACAGTTACATAACCATCAATATCATCAATATCATCATCATCATCATCAGAGCTGTCTATTTGTTCGCCTAAGCCTGTGATTCTTCCCTCTGGAGGTGGGACCGGTTGACTGCTTTCGTTGATAAAATGTTTTGCTAATTCAAATAAAGCAAATGAAAAAAATAAAAAAAATCAATCACCATATAGATCAATACTTAATTTACTTAAACCAATGCTCTGATACCAATAATACCTGATATCAAAATCTTCAGGGCAATTGCCTTCATGAATCTAAATTCCCCTTCGTGAGCACTAACAAATTTACCCTGAAAGATCATAAAAAGACATTTTTTTGTTTTGTTTTTTTTTTTTTTAAATTACAAATGAGTAGGTTACAATGTAAAAATATATACATAAAATTTGAGGAAAGAGGGTTTATTTACTGTTTCATTGTACAAGATTCCCACAATTTGATCAAGATTAGCTTGATGCCTCAAAAGGAAAGGACGTAAATGACTCATGTATAAATGTTTAGCACCCTGTAAAACAATAAAACAAACTCCAATTTCATTATTTTTTAATTTTAATTTTGGATATTTGAGAAAAAAGATTGCTTACATTGGTAGTGGGAAGTTGAAGCCAAACAAGAAAAGCAAACTTCATGTATTGGTATAGTGGAAACCTGAGAAAAAAAAAGCCAATAATTACATATATGCCACTGCCACCTTCAATTTGAGAGTTGGGATAAACATGATAATACCATGAGATAATTTTATCTGCAAATGTTTCTGCAATGCTAAAACTCCCATATGCTGCAGCCAATAAATCCTCCAAGATATTACCAATATCATAAAGATTTTAAAATAATAGATAAATGTAACATAAAATAAAACTTGTGTTGAAGTTTAGGTCACAGGATTACTAACCTGCCCAGTATAAAAGCCATTTTTGTTGATCAGTTGAATTATTTGTTTCAATGGCTTTAAATGTAGAGTAAACAGGTAAAATAACACCTACAGAACAGCTACAGAAAGAACACAATGTGTTACAATCTGAAAAATGGAATTCATATACTTTCTTTCAAATCTAAGAACATGAAAACCTAATCAATTTGAGTAATTGGGAGTAATAGAATAATTTATATGCATTGTATTGAATTACTCAATTACCATATGACTCAATTCAAACCTTACCATGCTGTTTTTAGCACAATGTTGGAACCAAGTGGACAAAGAAGCAACTTCAGGCCAACCTGCATTACATGAAAAATCCCCAAATTTATCGAATCATCATTGATAGAATAAATCTTAGCTCAAAAATCTGTGTTCGTATGTTGCAACCCAGAAAATGTAATATCGACATATCTACAAAGTTTTTCCAACACATTGACGAAGATGATGAACACGACGAAGTTCCATAACGACAAACCTACGATTCAGCGTCCTCATTTCATCTGATTACTAGTTTTTGGGGAAGAATTGAGCGATGTTATAAGAAATGAAAACAGATACCGATTCAAGAGAAATGATTTCAAATTGTGAAATCGACGCTAAGAACAAAAGAAACCCTAACATAAGGAGTTTAACATCGATTACCTCGCTCGGGATATTTGAACCTAGGATCGACATCGTATTGAAACCGGATCTCGCAATCGGATTCTGTAATCGATAGAGTGATCAGAAGGTTATTAGATCCGGAAACGCAGGTTTAAACCTTTAAAGGAAATTAGGGCGGAGACCGTTTATGTTGTTGGCGGAAAATATTTACATTCCGGTCCAGTAACTTTATCATAATTCAAAAAAGGCCCTTCAAATTTTTTTGATTTGTCACTTTTAAATGCTTAAAAAGTAGAAGAGGGAAGGGGTTTAGGAGGGTTTTACTTTTTAGAATCAAATTGCACATCACGCATCGATTTTTGTACATCTGAATCAAGAGAATAAGAGATTGTGGATGCGGGAGATGAAATTGTTCACGAATGAGGTTATTCATCGACGCTCTCAAATCACAAGTCTACGCCATAAAATCCGGTCACACTCCTACACTCTTTTCATGCAATCAGCTTATACATTTATACTCCAAACATGGATTCCTACAACAAGCCTGCAACCTGTTCGACGAAATGCCTGAACGAAATGTCTTCACATGGAACGCCATAATTTCAGCCCATATAAAATCCAACAACTTACCCAAGGCCCAACTTCTCTTCGATTCTGCCCCATGTAAAGATTCCGTGACCTACAATTCCATGTTGTCTGGATACGCAAACAGTGAAGGTCATGATACACAAGCGTTTGATTTATTCACACAGATGCATTTCACAGGGTATGAATATGATGTTCAGATCGATGAATTTACTCTCACCACGATGTGTAATTTGACAGCGAAGATTCGGAATTCAAGATATGGGAAACAATTACATTCGTTCATGGTGAAAACTGGAAATAATTTAAGTGGGTTTGCAGTGAGTGCGCTGGTTGATATGTATTCAAAATCTGGGTGTTTTAACGAAGCTTACGAAGCCTTCCATGGCTGTAATTTTGAGTCAGTGGATGTCGTTTCCAAAAATGCAGTTGTTGCAGCTTGTTGTAGAGAAGGAAGATTAGATATGGCTATGGAGATTTTTTCAAATCAATTGGAGTTAAACGATGTGGTATCATGGAACACGATGATTACAGGTTACACCCAAAATGGGTATCATAAAGACGCCATTGAATTATCTTCTTTGATGATGAAAAACGGATTTCAATGGAATGAACACACTTTTGCTAGCGTTCTGAGTGCTTGCTCTTCTACAAAAAGTTTAAAATTGGGGAAAGAAGTTCATGGCAGAATTGTGAAGAACAGAATGAACTCGAATCCTTTCATTATCAGCAGAATCATCGATCTCTACTGCAAATGTGGCTACATGAAATACGCTGAATCAATCCATTCAAGAAATAAAATCGAAAACATGTTTTCAACTACTTCAATGATTGTAGGATACTCTTCACAACACGATATGATAAAAGCCCGAAAACTTTTCGATTCTTTAAAATCTAAGAACACTGTAGTCTGGTCAGCTATGTTTTCTGGATACTTAAACAGTCATGATTCTTCAGATGTCTTCAAACTCTTTCAATTCTTCAACATTCAAGAAAAAACAATCCCTAATTGTTCGATTCTTGCAACTTTGCTTGGTGCATGCGCATTACAAGCAATCATCGATCCCGGAAAACAAATTCATGGGTATTTAATAAGAACGATAGTTGAAATCGATTATAAAACAATCAGTGCGTTAATCGATATGTATTCGAAATGCGGGAACATAAAATACGCAGAAATAATCTTCAAAACTTCGAAATTTAGGGATCTGGTGATGTACAATATCATGATATTAGGTTTCGCTCACCATGGTTATGAAGATAAAGCTTTTGAGCTCTTCGATAACATGGTGGAATTAGGGTTTCAACCGGATAACGTAACTTTCATCGCGATTTTATCGGTTTGTCGTCACTGTGGGTTGGTTAAAACCGGTGAGGATTATTTCAAATTGATGACGGAAGTTTATAAAATCGAACCTGAAATCGATCACTATTCGTGTATGATTGATCTATACGGGAGATGTAATGAGGTGGAGAGAGCTATGGAGTTTATGAGGAAGATTCCGGTGGAGTTAGATGCGGTGGTGGTTGGATCGTTTTTGAGTGGGTGTAGGGTTCACCGGAAAGGTGAGCTGGCACGGGAAGTGGAGGAGGAGTTGTTGAGAATTGGCGGGAAGAGTGGGACCAGGTATGTACAGTTGGCGAATGTTTATGCGGCGGAGGGGCGGTGGGAGGAGGTGGGGAGGTTGAGGAAGAAGATGAGAGGGAAGGAAATTGGTAAGGTGGCTGGTTGTAGTTGGGTTCATGTTGGTGGGAAAGTTCATAGCTTTATCTCCGGTGACACGTGTCATTTGGAAATGGAAGGTGTATATGGTATTTTAGGATTATTGGTTATGGAAATGACCGAGACTGAAAAAGTTTTATATGAATTTTTTTGAGGTTATTTACGTCTTTTTATATCTTGTCTCATTTTGTTCTATCTTTTTGGACCTTGACAACGATACTATTATTTTATTATCTTGATAACAATACATAAAAACTTGGTATATTCCAAAACATTAGAAGCTTCTAGAACCTTTCTTCATTCAATGTTGGAAATTATATATGGTCTTACAACATAGACTGAGAAAAAACAACCTTTGCACCCAAGTACACCGATCTTGCATCCTCTGCACAAAAAAAATACAATGTAACATTTCCTTCTTTATATGCCACATCAGCAATAAAAACTTGACATGTCATCATGAAAACATACCTGCAATATGGTCGAAATCAAATTGAAGAGGCACATTCATCTCCACTTCAACAGCAGCTTTAGCAGTTGCAATTCCAACTGCAACACTTTGCATTAAATCCAAACCACCACAAACAGACGCCACCACACCACCCACCAAACAATCCCCAGCTCCGGTCAACCTCACAACCGCCGCCAATGACACCGCCGGAAAATGGACCACACCGCCGGAAAACCGGCCCACCGGGCAGACTAGATTTATAGCTTCTTGCAACCTTTTGTTATTGTTGATTCTTTTTGGGCAAATAGAATCAAGGAAATTGAAGTGTTTTTTGGAGCATAATAATACGCCTTTTGATCCAAGGGTTAGAATGACTACTTTGATGCCTTTTTCTAACAAAATTGAGATTGCTGGTTTTAGTTGTTGGAAGAGAGAGGTTATTGTGGAGGCTTCTTTTTGAATTGGGGAGAAGGTGTGTTTGGGAGATAGGGCATTTGCCATGGCAATTAATTCGTCTTCATTAGGTGAAGTGAAGGTTATCTGTTAAAAAATCAGTATTAGTTTATTACTCCTATAATTAATGTGTCACAAAAAAATTGGTGTCAAATTTGCAAGATACACTATTAATGAAACAATAGTTCAAGCTTATTATTTTTACAATAGAGGGGTAAAATAGGAAACTCACATACTTGGCAACTGAAACAATTCTTCTTGACTTGGCAACAGATACAGGCTCAAACCACACTGGGGTACCCACCTCTGCTGCCACTGCAAGTAAAATGACTTCATTAGACATAGGAGGGGGGGGGGGGGGGGGGGGGGGGGGTACATATACATATACGTAGTGCTTACATTGACAAGATGCTTCAAGAGCTAGTGGACTTAAGTTTGCATCAACCATGACAATAGGAGCGGATGCTAGATTTGTTTTGAATTGTTGAATCCATTTGGGTGTAAGAAATTGTTCCTGTATCAAACAACAAATATAAGTATGGAAAAAGTTTAGAAAAGTGATGATATGTAACTTACGAGAGATTCAACACTTGCAACAGCAGCTGCGGATTCTCCTTCAGTATCAAAGACAATGGATACAACTGGAGTCTCTATCTCATTTCCCATTCGAATACCTTTGATAAGATTGTTTCTTTGTTACAAAACTGTAACTCATGAAAATTTCAATCAGAACTAAAAAAATCTACCTTCTGTTGATAATCCTGAAGATTTCCAGTACTCTAACAGCATGTTTCCTGTTGAATTTGAAAAATTACATTAGCAATTCGTAAGTGGTGTTGTGATTTGATATTTTGATTCATAGGATACTGAATTCGAACCTGCGATGTCCGATCCTAATGCGCTTATCATGAAAGGCTTTGTTCCAAGCTTTGATACACATTCGGCAATGTTCCTTGCTACACCTCCCGCCGCATATCGCACCTGAATATTTGGATTATGAAGCAACAATGAATTGTTTGTTTCTAACAAATTATCATCATTTTTCAAACTGGAAGTATCATCGATGTACCTTGCCAGGAGCGGTGGTTCTAGGGTTTGGAGGAATAGAAGGAATGGCGTGTATGTCTAACACCATACCACCAATTATCACAGCCTGCGCTTCACCTTCTTCCTCTTTCTGATTTTCGCTCTTAACTAGCCACTGCAATCGCTCATTGGAAGATCATAATGAGCATTTAGACATGTAACAGCTAAAAAAATTGAGAAATCGTGAATAAATAAGCAGATACAGATAGACACTAAAACTTGAGAAATTTAACTGAGGAAAGAAGATAAATTTGTTGGTATACGTGTGGTTTTTGAGGAGAGTGACGATCCATACTGCTTCCGAAAGCTCCCCTGAATTATCTCGAGCTACTGCAGGACTACCGATGAGTGATATAGAGTTTAATACGAGTCCGACGATGAACACGACGATGATTTATGAATCAAAGCAGGGTCTCTATGATACGCAATGAATTTCAAAGATCGACTAACAAAACATTAGAACTAGATATTCATGGCCCTAGATCTTGGAATAGTAGTTTCACAACTAGTTAGGTTTGGATTTTTAAATAAAAATTTTATTGATTTATTGTGATGATAAAAAAATAAAAAATATTTTGATCAGTTGAATTAACAAGTTAAAAATGTTTGATTAAATCTTATTAAATTAAGTTTTTTAAAGCAATAGTTAAGAAGCTATAAAAATTTTAAAAAGCCATATTTTAAATTGTTTTTATATTTTTTTAATAGAAAAATTATTTTAAAAAATAATTTCATAGGATAGCACCAAATTCATATTTTCCTAAAGTAATTAAGATTGAGAATTTTTAAAATGTTTAGTTACTTTATATTTATCATTATACTTTTAATGAAAATTATAATCCTTGTCCTACCCGTTCGGCTAACGACCCTCCACCAGTCAAGGAAATGGTGGGTGAGAGTGGACACCCACTAAGCTGTCATTTTATAGGCAACAACCTTATACCCCCCTTAAAGACCGATTTCGTGAATGAGATATGCTAACGGTAAAACTGACTTGCGTTTGGAATTAAGGTTTTCTAAAGTGACTTTACAAATTCAAAAACTTGATGACAAGTTTTGAAACTATCCAAGACCTTTGATATTCAATAACTTATGAGTTTTTAATAACTTCAAAGAAAAGACTTTTGGAATTTTATAACTTGAGGACAAGTTATGGAGTCTATTAATTGGCATTAAGATCAAGAATTATACTAACAAACAATTTGCAAATAATTCCTATGATCTACTAAAACTCATAAGCATGAAAATTCAAATAAACAATTTCAAGAATCATATAAACATATATAAAACTTGAAAATTTGATAATAACTATTGTAAATGGATTAGCATAATCATTACCACATCTGTAACGCCCCGATTCCAAGGTATTGATTTCTTTTGTTATAAAATCTTTTTGATTTCAAGGTCTACTCGACGAGTTGGTTGCTCGACTCGTTGAGTAGCAGCGAGTTGGTCCACGTGTTTAAGTGACCTACTCGCCGAGTCCAAGGAGGGACTCGACGAGTATGAACTGGAGGATGAAACCCTAATTTTCGGGGTTTTGCACCCTATTTAAAGGATCATTGGCCTCCCCAGCCTCCCCTCTACAGACTATTGCCATTCCAAACCCTAAAATCGTGTGTGTATGTGTGCTTTCTTGGTGTGTTAAGCTTTGAAGAAGGATTTTGGTAAGAGAAGCTTGGGGAAAACAAATGATTAGAAGCAAGGAACTCATGGGGAATCAAAGATCTACTTCAGTGGGCACCCTTTTTGAAGGTATTTAGCTGTTACGTTGGCTCATCTTTTCTTAGAACTCTTTTGGATGGTTTTTGGAAAGCTTTTATTGTGTTTACGCTAAGATCCAAAGTTGCAACTTCAGATCTGCACACTTTTTGGCCTCTAAGTCCATAAAGTCGCCAGCTTTGGCAAGTATGAACCTCCCCTCAAGTGCATGACTTCTTTGCAAGCTTAGTTTTGTCATTTTACGGCTTTAGAGCTTTGCATGCACGTAAAGTTTGCAACTTTACGTGATAAGCATGCCTTGGGAAGCTGGATCTGAAATATGGAGCCTTTACATGGCTTTAAAAGCATATATATAGATGAAGGACTGAAGGGACTCGGCGAGTGGCATGGTCGACTCGGCGAGTCTGATGAAGATTGTCATGGGCTCGGCGAGTCGGATGAATGACTTGGCGAGTCGGATGGGGTTTTCCCAACTGTTGGACATATATGAACTTGGCGAGTTGCAAGCGAAACTCGACGAGTCGGCCAAGGAGTTTATGGCCGCAAACCTTAGGAACTCGACGAGTCACTCTAGTGACTCGACGAGTTGGTGAGTTATGCATGGAACTCCGCGAGTATCTGAGGGTACTCGACGAGTTGAGGTCAACATGGACTGTTGACCTTAATAATTAACTTTGACTTTGACCAAGGGTTTGACCAGTTGACTTCTGGGGACATTTTGGGAGATTGGAAATTTACAAGTATGGTTTTGCAATGAATATAGGTGGTGGAGTTTGGGACGGTAATCCGAGAGTTTAAGCTTATCTTACGAGTCGACTGTTGCGAGGTGGGTTATCCTCACTATACTCAGGGGTCTAAGGCACCAAGATCGGCCCTTTGAATTGTTATATGGTTATGTTATCTAGTATGATCTGTTAGATCGGTATCCTAGAGGGTAGGATAATATTATGTGGTACGTGGTATGATCTGTTAGATCGGTATCCTAATAGATAGGATAATATTATGTGGTATGAGGTATGATCTACTAGATCGGTATCCTGGTAGATAGAATGGTATTATGTGGTATGTGGTACGATGTGTTAGATCAGTTGTTGTCTATAGACTGTTATGTGATTATCTGTTATATGTGCACATGTTTGTTTGGCGGTTGAGGCTTATCTGCTTTGGCGAAAGCCAACATACCTGGGCATTCCAACCTGTTGGTTGTGGGCCGTGAGTATTCCATCCCAAGGATGATTGGACTTATAGTAGGTGGGCATTCCAACCTATTGGTTATGGGCATGGGGTATTCCATCCCGAGGATGATTGGACCCATAGTATGTTGGCATTCCAACCTGATGGTTGAGGGCTTAGGGTATTCCAACCTGATGGTTGACTGGACCCATAGTATGTTGTTTATGACTATATGTGTATTGCTGTGAGTATGGGTATTTTGGGGGAACTCACTAAGCTTCCGGGCTTACAGTTTCAGTTTATTGTTTCAGGTACATCAGGGGATCGCGGCAAGGTGAAGGCGTGATCGTACAACACCTCATGTTTTATTATCGTTTATGGGGAAAACTCTGATATAGACTATTTTGGAAACAAATTTGTAATAACTGTTGGTTTTAAATGTTTTTGAAAATGTTTTTAATCGGTCTAAATTTTATGGGTGTTACAAGTTGGTATCAGAGCCTTGGTTTTAGTGAATTAGAAGAACATTCATGTGAATCCAGTCTCAAATCGAGGAAATATTTTCAAAATGATTTTTCAAATGGTTTACAAAATAAGTAAAGGAGGATGCAGGGTGTACGATCATCCAGAGCCAGTAAGTAAACCCTAAAATACCATACGGTTATTTGATTATGTGATATGTTAGAACAACATGCTAGTACTAGGCTATGGATCTTTAGGAATTGCATGATAAAATTGTCTGATTATATGATGACTGCTAGTCTAGGGATTTTCTTATATGGGATTGACATCATTGTTGTAGTTGCTTGTGTATGTATCACGGTTGTACATACATACGCACAACATACTTTTCAAGTCCTAATTTATCAAAATGCCATTATGGGTTTTTTTTTGCATTATTTCTTAAACTTATGGACCAAAAAGCAATATAATTTAATTTACAAACTTTACATTGATGCATGGGCTATTTAGCTCAAATAGCCCTAAAAGTGGTTCTTATGATGCATGGGACTCTCTATGGCCGTAAAGTTGGCACCTTTATGCCATGGAGTCCCTCAAAGACTCTGGATATGAAGTCTTGACCCTAGATATGATTGCATCCATAAATGGTTCCAAAAATGGTTCTAAAAAGCCCTAAACTACACCATGAAGGGATCTAATAGATGAATAGACAAGGTATAGTCTTTATACCTCAAATGAGCTGGAAATGTAACACCAACTCTGGATCCACTTGCCTCCTCTTGAATCCCCAAGCTTTCCTTTTACTTCTCAAGCTTCAAATCACTAAGAACACATAACAACGGCTCAAGGACACTCCAAATGGATTAGGGTTTCGTGAATAAGGCTTGGAGGTGATGAAGGTTGTAGTTGAGGCTAGTTAAGGCGTTTAAATAGGGTGCAAACCCTGAAAATTAGTGTTTCACCCTGAAAACCCTACTCGTCGAGTCGAGGCCTCTCGACTTGCCGAGTAGGTTTCAGTTCCATGTCCAATCCTTCGTTCCTACTCGACGAGTCCGGGCCTCCGACTCGTCGAGTCCCCTTGCACAAATGAAAGTTTAATTTGAAATACATACCAGGAACCGGACATTACAAACTTATTATAGAATAACAAAAATCTTGAACCATCAATTGAAGAATAAAAACAAAAATTACATTAATTCTTATAGAATACGGGTAACAATTGCTAAGAATTATATTTATTGTTAAAGAATAAAACTAAAAACACTTTCAAATCAGGAAAAAACATCAACATCTAACAAAAGATGCTAATACATTCTAAAAGAATAATGTTGCTAAGAATCACTTTCAGTTTTGTGGTCTGTTCTTCAAGCATCAACATCTTTGAAAACAAATCCAATTGTAGTTTAGAATCCAATAATGCATTAGCAAATAAAAACCAAAAAACTAAATTCCTTTGGAAAAATATGTTGACTTGTGAATTTCACCAAAACCAATAACTAAGAATTGTAGAACATGCATAAATCAGTGAGAAAATATCCATATTTCATTCCAACATAATTGAAATTCGTGATTCCATTTTAACAGAATTGAAATTCAAGATTCAATTAATGTATGCATTATGTTGGGAAAATATCCACCTTTACCAATGAACAAAAAAAACACATCGTGCATGAATAAAATGATTAAGACCACTAATCCACCTACCAGAGGTTCAAGACTTCATAAAATCAAAATGAATACTTCGTTAAATTAAAATCCAAACTCCATAAACGAAGAAGTAAATCACAAAAATTATCAATTGTGGTATATCTTTTGTGCAAAAAGAAAGAAATCACAAAAATTATCATATTCTACAACAAGTAATCATCATACCATAAAGAATTAATAAAAAAACTACTGAATTAGGGGGTGATATAGAATAGTAATTTAAAACAAGCAAAATTTTATTACCACTGTTATATATGTCATTAGGATACAAACAAATAATGACCTCTTCATCATAATCTCACTATCACATTGCTTTAGATAAAATATAATGTAACAAAATAGAACAAGAACCTATTAAATATATCAATAAAATCACGTTACATATGATGCTTCCCACTTGATGAGAATATATTTCCAATAGACATTTGGAAACTAAAGAG